ATACTCTTTCCTCATCATCATCACCACCACCTAACCCCCCCCACCTTCCTCCCTCCCTCCCAACATACCCCCCCCTTTTTTTTCTCCTCCTTCAAGACATGTGTCATTCACAAGGCCAGGTCAATTTACTATCACTCGATACTTCATGTTCGTGCCAGAAATCTCCCCTCTGTCACGCCTTGCCAGATATTGGACCAGGTGAATTTGATAAAGACGCTGTGGTTAAGGGGTTTGGTGGTGGATGGGGGTCTTTCAATGGTCGGGGCTTTGGTAGTGGGTGGGGTGGGGAGTGAGGCTTGACCGCACTCTATAAATGGTTCATGACAAGTGGGACGCTCTTATAAACGCTGTCAGACTATCAACAGGGCAAGACCTCTCTCCAAAATTTCCAACCGCCTCCAATCGGACCTAACAATTTCATTGGAACCTTGTACTCCCCACCCCCTTTTTTCTTCCTTTTCCCCTCCATGTTAAAATAACAACATCCTCATTGGGATTCAAACCAAGATCATTGATCATTTGACCTTAATCCGGGACAGTGATTAAAGTTTCAAGGTTGCGGTCTGGTGCACCTAATCATTTGATTATTATTGTTAAGTATGTTTCGTTTAAACTCATTGATCTGGAGGTTTTTTTCAATGTGTATGAGGGTGTTTTAGCCCCCATTGTCATAGTTCTAATCATTTAGAAGGCCGGCTTGGACCCTAACTGTCAAGGCCAACCCAGGCTGAGAGGGATGCAGCAACATCCCAACAGAAAGACCCTCTCGGCATCTGCGGTGTTTGTATTTCGTAGACGTACTGCTCAAGGAGTTTGTTAAAAAGAACATGTTTATTGGTCGGGGGTACTTAGCAGTAGAAAAAGGTTTGTGGGTGTTGGTTCGTTCGCGAGGGAGGGTTTTTTTTTTTATTGGGGCGAGTTAGTTATGTTGTAGGGTAATAATTCTCTCTACACAGGAATCGAATTCAAGTCTTCTGCGTGCGATGGCCAAGCGCCTTACCGCTATGCCACAGACGCCGTTTGGCCAAGAGTGGCCACTATAACTTTACTGTTATCTCAGGGGAACACAGTGTGGTGATGCCAATATGAGTCACGACATGGTGGAATAAGATACTCGTCAATTTTAGCCAATAAACGTAGAAATTGATATCATCTTGAAGCTTGTTCATTTATCTTACTTTTGCAAAACAATGATCCTCCTCTGTCTCGAACAGAAGTTGAGATATCTGCGATTGAAGGAGGTGGAGTTCGCCTACTGTCTTATAAAAAAAGAGTGCAACTCCTAAATTATCTAGGAAAATGGAGTTTGTACTGGCTCGCACTCTATTTGCGCGTTAAGATGTCCAAACGTCCAAAATTAGAATCCGTTTTCTTGTGGTATGGTACCAAAAACGAGACATAGTGACATAAGCTTTTGGAAGGCTCGTAGAAGGCAACAGGTTACACTTACCTGTTACCTAAAAAACCAACCAAAATGAAAACCTGGGGAAATGGTAAAACGGCGCCATAATATTACTTTCTTACTACCCATTCCGCCATCTGGCGTTTAGGGCAGCAACAAACGATCTCCAGCTTTGTCTTTTTTTGCCATCTTTGTCAACGTACCCCATGAATGATTCCAGGACTTTATTTCAGACTCTACTGTGCGTCTCCAGGTCATTTTGGGTCTGCCCTTCTTGCGATTTCCTTCGGGCGTCCAGTGGAGGGCAGTCTTCACAATATTGTTTGGTTTTCTTCTCAGAACATGCCCTATCCACCTCCATCTTCTTTTTTATTATGGTGAAGCCATAGTATGCGATGGTCTATTTATATTTTTTTTAAAAGTCTACGGCAGAAATGTTCTTAATCAATGTTTCCAGCCATTATATGACCGGCCTTTTTGAGACAGGAAAGTTGTAGAATAGTAATTCTAATTGCCGTGCCTTCACATGCTCACTTTAGTGGATGTATACTATTATGTAATTTCTTTTGTTATGAATGTGGAAATCAACAATTTGCTGTCGATATAAATATATATATAGTATTTATTTAAAGTTCATCTTCAATGTTATGTATTATTGTTGGGGTGTGGGTGGATGGGGCCGCTTGCAATCTTCCACAAACACCAACAGGTACTGTAACAAAACCAAAACTAAACAACAGCGAGAAAAACAGCAAACATGATAGCAACAAAAACTAAAAAACCAATGACTATATCATCATCATCATCATCATCATCATCATCATCATCATCATCATCATCATCATCAACAACAACAACAA